GTGAGACTTTTTTCTACAGAGAAATTGTTGACCTACTTTTTCTGTTTAAAGAAAATGTTGAAGAACATATTGTGTTACATGTGAGAACATAATGCACTTTGACCATTTAATGTAATTTCATCATTTTCTTGTAAACTGTAAAATGATTTCAGAGTGAGGCACAAACAACGCCCATTTGCTCACACGTCAGGTAACATTTCAAAAGGCATCTCTTGTTTAGTTTCATCAGACTTTAAACTGAAGTTAAGTTTGATTTTCCTTCTAATCAGACTTTCTCAGGTCAGATAAATCAGTTTTTAACCTCCTACCTCTCCGATTCAGCTGGTCCTGGAAGTAAACGCCCGTGCTGCATTGTCGTCACCAACATGGATAAGTGCGCCGAGGTGGTGGGGGAAACATATCGTCAGCAGGCTGCAAGAGGACGCTGTGTGAAGGCTATAATGTAAGTCAGCACTTGTTGTCCTTCATACAGACAAACACATACAATCTTTGTAATTTTCTATTTTCTTCTAGTTTCAACACAAAAACAGGACAGCTTTGTGCTGATCCAAACACTCAGTGGGTCAAGCATCGTAAGTCATTCAAACACAAACACACACAGAAATACATGAAAAGTTTTTGCAGAGAAAATCTAGAGCTCCCCTTTGTCTCTCTCTCCTCTTCAGTCACTGCCAGAATGAGGAAGGTGTGAAGCATAAAGTCTGTGGTGAAGCATCGCTGCCTGTCTGCTACATCAGTGTTTTCTTTAGCCTCACCTTTAAAGTCTTATTCATACCAGAGAACTTTCTTATTGTAACTTTATTATAACCTTTTTCACATTAGTAGATTAGGATTTTTACTCTTACCTGTAGAGTAACCCTGTATTTTATTCTTAGCGTCGACTTTCATGAAACAAATTGTTTTTAAGGGATCTTTATTTTTAAATGGAGTTCCAGCTTTTTCCCCTGCTTACTCTGTGTTTATGTGATTTAAAAAAATAAAAATAAAAAAGGTGTCTGGCACAGCTGTGAGTCATCATTATATTGTGCCTCTCCTATTTCAGACAGAC